CTGAACATATTTTGTTTGACATGTCGTGTGCTGTAATTTCAGGAAAGTTTAAGAGGTAAACATCTTTTCAACGTCAGTGCAGCAGGACAGAAAACTGAATATTCTACAAAGCTCTTCCTCTTTCTTTGCTGCCAGTTAAAGATGGCAATTCTGTGACATTTGTTAGACTGACACTTTCCAGTGAGAGCTCCTGAGGCAATTTTTGTGGGTTGTGTTTTGTTTTTCCAATAGGACCTGATTGAACTGCAGCAGGTTTTAGAAGTCGGAGGCCACGCTGTAAGACTGGTTGCAATGGTATTTGCCAAGCCATGGCTCTTGCACTCAGTGTGCCTGAAGAATCAGCCAGAGGATTCTGATCAGCAGGACGCAGAGACAGCTCTGCCAGAGGCACCACAGGACTGCCTCCCATCAGAACCAGAGAGGGGAGAGGAGTGCTCCAGAGAGCAGCAGCTGGGAGAAGACCTGCAAGCTGGCAGTGATGATGAGCCCCCGAGGAAGAGACCCAGGACTGAAAACAATGTCCTTCAAGATGACAATCAACTCTGCCAGGGCTCTCCGAGTGGTTTGAAAAGTGCCCATGAAAGGAACTTTGATGCAGGTGTTACTGACCCCCTTACAGTGAAGGAAGCTGCAGTCCTGGATGAAGACCCCAGCTCCCTGGGAGGGCACGTGGGGCACCAAGCCGAGCACCCAGCCTGTGCTCCAAGTGTGGACACCTACAAGGAACAAGAGAAACCTTGTTCTGAGGACAAAGAACTGGAGGCAGAGAATGATGAGCTCAGCACTGAGCACAAGCAGATCCCTGGCCTTGAGCAACCAGCCAGTGAGCAGGGTGATGATCCTTCCTATTTACAAGAGAACCCAGGAGTCTCTAAAGGTATCTCTAAAGGTATGTAGGAGCACTCTACATCCAAGAAATGGACACTAGCTCATTACCAGTTGATCCCAAACAGGTAGATATATTTTAAAAGACAACATTAGAGTTTTTTATGAAGCTGTATCATAGAATCATAGAAAGGCTGAGGTTGGGAGGGACCCTACAGATCATCTAATCCAACCTCCCTGCCATGGGCCAGGGACACCTCAGCTAGACTCGAGAGAGAGGTTGGTATTTCTCACAGATGAAGTGGCATAACACCACCTGATCTTGAAAGTCTTGGAAGTTTCAAATACATCAAAGATGCCTTTCTGTGTCCATTGCTGGAATGTTTTCCTTAGAAACTCATTTCCATGTCTTACGCTTCTCCAAAAACATGTTTGGATCTGAAGTTTCTCATCTCTGGCTTCAGGCTAGACATCTTTAAACCCAGGAAACACAGTGCTACTGGTGTACAGTTAACTAGAATGCCCATGAGTGGAAGTTGTAAAGTCATTAAACCAGGCACCAGAAAGCAGCACATGCCAGAGAGAAGATTTATAGCCTCGTTTGTAGCCCAGTTTTCCTTCATTTTCATTTCCCTTTTATTGCCAGTTTTCTTTTTTAATAGCTAGTTTTTCTTGCCAAGCTTTGCATTAAGTAGGTTGTTGGGGATTTGATTTTGTTTTTATCAGCTCTAATTTCAGATTGAATCCCAAGCTAACTGCTGGTGTGGTATTGTGCCAAGATCTGCTGTTGCCCACGGGCAGAGCTGCAGACTGCCACGGGAGCCAGTGCGGATTGGTCCCCAGCACCTGAGAGCTTGGTGCTGTTTAACTGGGGCCTTCCTGTGGGGAACAGGCTCCTACAGACTTCAGCACTCTGAACGTGACACTGCTGGAAGTGCTGGTTTGGATTTCACTTCCTCTCTTTGTTTGTAGCACAAGAGGGGAAAAATAGCAGTTGGGTTATCCAGCGTGGAGTCCTTCCTGATGAAGGCCAGCAGAAAGGTTTACACGTGCTGAAGCCAAGGCTGGTAGCCTCTGGGTGTGGTAGAAATACCCACATTAAGTAATTGTCTGCTTAAAACCCGTGATGTAATGTGTAGTGGAAGTTGCAGAGACAAACTCCACTTTGAAACAAGCCTGGGGAAATCTTGAGTCAACACTCTTGAGTCTAGAGCTGCTAGGACTTCTGCTCAGCTCCCCTGTGGCCACCAGGAGCACTAAGTTAAGCCCAAGGGAGTGCTTGCAAGCCCTTGGTGTGAAACTCGGCTCTTTTGGTCCATTTCTGGGAATAAAACTTCTCGCTGCAGTTTGGGAATGGAACCACAGAAAGTGTGGTTGGAGTAGACAGAGGTGGGAAGAGAAAGTATGTGCAGGCAGCCAGAGAGCACGACCAGAGCTCCCCCTGCAACTGAGAACACACAGTGTAGTGTGTGTTATTTCCTAACGTAAGCTGTTGCATTTTACAGCTCAGCAACTTTGAATTTTAAAGAGTTTTGGTGAATTAAGAACTATGTGCTTTTTTCTTTCCAGGAGGTTCCACGACAGACATGCCCCAGGCAGCCAGGGACTGGTGAGTGCTGTCAGAGAGCTGTCTGCAGAACAGCCACACACTCTGCACTACCAGAGTTACATCTGGAAGCAGATGGTTTGGAAGCCTTAATTTTATGCTTTGATGGGTGCTGAGTGTTGATGATGGAAACCCCCCATGTTTTCCTCTGTTGTTCTTGTTAGTGTTACTCGTGCTCATGTGCACACTGAAAAAATTGCTCTGATACACGTTTTTCCCCCAAAACTAACTAGCTACAAATATCCAAGGAACAAAACTCATTTCACAAAAAAAGTCCAGTGCCAGATCTTGGTTTCCATGTGCCCAGGAAAGGCCTGGAGAAACTGCAATACAGGAGATGTGAATTTCCATGCAGGGTCTGTCTTTTGACTCAAAAATGATAACAGTGAGGCAGTGTGTTTCCTGTCTGAGCACAGTTGCTGCACGTTGCAGAATGAAGTAGGTCTTGAGATAACTTCTGGAGGAATTGGAGCTAGTAACAAAAGTTTTCCTGCCGAGCAAGAGCCAGGGTAGCTGTTGGGTGGTGTCACGGTGCCGAGAGCACTTCTCGGGGGGTGAACACTGAGTGTGAAGTACCCGAGGTCTGTGGCACCAGCAGACTGGCACCAGCCTCTGCCCAGAGCAGCTGCAGGACTGGCACCTAGCATGTGAGCAAGCACTGCATGTTGTAAGGATCTCTGTTATGCAGAAATGGATAGGAAATCTAGCTAGAGTTCCTGACAGCTGAATGTAAATGCTGTTCCCAGGGCCTGCGAGAACGTCTGCTTCATTGGGAGACCCTGGAGGATTGTGGATGGGAACCTGAACAAACCTGTGTGCAAGGGGATGATGGAGGCTGTGCTCTATCACATCATGACCAAACCAGGCATCACGGAGGACATGCTGATGCAGCACTACACGGGGGTACTGCAGCCTGTGGCTGTCCTGGAGATACTGCAGGTATGGGAATCACCAGCTGGGGGAACTTCAATCCGGGTCAGCTGCCACTTGTAGGCATCAGCAGCTGCTTTGCTGGAAGTCCCTGGGAAGGAGGACTGTGAATGAATCATGAAAAACAACCTCCTCCCTTTAGCATAAGTGACCCAAAGCCAGAGGAAGTCACTGTTCCCAGGCAGGGAGCCTGCTTTGCCCATCCTGGGAATTCCCTGCTACTGATTCCAAAGTTTGATCTTGCTTCTGCAACGGTTGCACGTGCAGTTGAAATTGTAGCTGGGTACTGAAGAGTGGTGGCTTGTCACTCTGGAATAGTGTTGGACTGTTTAGGGCACTGTTCATCACCAGAGTTTTTATCTTGAGTTTTTCCTTATGTACCCTTCAGATGGGTAGTCTTTGATATAGGCGTTGGGCTGAAATGTGTCTGTGCCAGACAACAGCATAAATAAGACTTTCTGCCCTGACAGAGCTGTAAACATGACTCCCCTGCTAATGCAAATCTGAGTTCAGTGTCTGTGTGGCCACTGGGCTGTCCAGAGGCTGTGCCTGCTGCAGGTTGTGTGCTGAGCAACCATCCCCTCTCCTGGGTGTTCCAGCACAGCTCATCCGTGTGTCCTGTGCCACAAGGGCACTGCCAGGAGGGTGGCTGGGACCAGGGGCAGGTTTCAGGCTGGGGGATGGAGCGTGCTGTGGTGAGAGGTGCACATGTGGGACAGCAGTACAGGACCCCAGGCCCTCTGAATTCAAACCCACAACATCGAGCCATTGCCTGTATGTCTTACAGACTGGGCAACCCGAATCCAACTTCTCCACCAACAAACTTGATAAGAACTGGTTTTCAAACCACAGACAGAGCTTGTTTGGTTGATTTGGTTTTTTTTTTCACAATTGCTCAAGCTAAAACATGAGTTTTCCTGCAGGGTCTGGAGACTCTTGGCTGCATCAGACGATTCTACATGAAGAAGCCATCCCTGGTGTCACTCTTTTCTCAGCCAGTTGTGGAAGAAGAACTGAACAATCCCAAACTGAGCGAAACCCCCACAGTATACTACGAGCCTACAATAGACTGTGCTCTCAGGCTGGGCCGAGTGTTCCCCTCTGAAGTGAACTGGAATAAATGGGTGCAGATTATCCCCGTATGAAGAGGTAAATGCAGATTGTTACTATTTGCACTCCACCATGGTTTTATTAACTTATTTATCCTTTTTACCTTTGAATGTATTTGTACTGAGAATAAAGCTTAACGTTAAGACACAGGTAATACCTGATCCTACTCTAAGTACATTTTCTTTACGCTTTACATGCAATTATTGGTCGAGTTCAGAGTTTCTGCTTGACTCTGGGGTGTTTTCACAGCTCATAGCATTTTTATTCTCGAGCAACCACACCACAGACAGTGACTTCCACCCAGTGACACCTTTATTGGGGGAGAAGACAGCCCTGCCCCATGGCCGCTCACAGGGCCAGGGCGCGGCCCCTCAGTCCCGCCAGCGGTGCCCGCACTGGGGGCTGCAGCACTTGTAGAAGGTGGTCATGGGCTCGTCGGCCGAGCGCGTCTGGATCTGCATGAAGTAGGCGCGGGGGTGCTCGCACTTGGGGCAGGGCTCTGCGGGGCGGGCGGAGCGAGGCGGGGT